GAAATATAATCAATTTTTATTGAACCCCCTTTTGTGCCAGATACTCCACATCTGCCATTCTATTCAGTCTTTGCAATAATCCTATGAGAAGGGTATTTAATTTGCATTCCATAAATTAAAAAGCAGAGGCTCAAAGTCAAACAAATCATATGTTTTGTTTGGGGTTAGGTGTCTGATTCCAAAATCTATACTCTTCTCAAAAAAAGGAGGAAATTATAATTTACTATAATAAATTCTAAGATAAAATTAACACAAAGAAATACAGAAGCACTTAACAGAAGTATTAACTACTGGAGACTCTGAGTAGGTTTTGCAGGAGGTAATTCTGGGCTAAGTTTTACAGGGTTTGGGGAGGCAGTGCTGAAGGTAAACATAACCATTCCAGGAAAAGAGAAGAGCCTGGTCATTGGTACAAATGGCAGAGCAAGGTACCATTCCAGTAGGAGATGGCAAGTAACTATACAGAGGTGAAGCAGAGCTTGCAAGGCTGGGAATGATGAGAGAGAAACTAAACTTTATGCTAAAGATTATGTGATGCCTTGAAGGATTTTAGGAATAGCAGTGACTTTTTCAGATATGTCTTGTGAAGATTTCTCAGACAATAACCCACCAGAAAAATGGGCAAAGGACATAAAAAGGTAATTCAGAGAAATACAAAAAGCCCTTAACCATATGAAAAGACACTTGAGCTCAGTCCTAGTAAGAGAAATGTAAATTAAAACTGTTTTGGCTACCATTTCTTATCTACTAGACTCCAAAACTTTGAAAATATATTCTTTTGATGAGGCAAGAAGGAAACGGGGTATCTCACAAAATACTGTTGAGAGTACAAAATGATACAAGTACTATGCAGGGGGAATTTGGCAATAGCTAAATTATAACTCCATTTAGCTTTTGAACCAGCAATTTCACTCCTAAGAATCTATCTCCCTGATACATATGCACTACTACAGAATGGCAAATATACAATTATACAATTCATTATAGGTCAATTTCTAACAGAAAAAGACTGAAAATAACTTGTGTCCAAAAATTACAGGACTATTTGAAATAACTATGTAACAGCCACACAGTGGAGAATCACACAGCAACAAGAGGACTGAAGATAAAGTAAGAAATGAAAAAAGAAAAGTGTGTAACAGCATATATAGTAAAACATATGTATGTGAACTTTTATTTAGAGAAAAAGTGAGGGGTTAGGAGTAACAATACACAGAGATTTGCTAGCATTTGCAAAAATAAACACTGAAGGATAGTCTAGAAACTAATGGTTATGTACAGCAGGTAAAGAAGAGCAGGACCTAGAAACTGAGTTGGACACCTGCTTCTGTCCTCAAGCTTTCATGCCTTTTAGCTTCCAGTTGGACTTGGATAGTGGGGAGCTCTGGCAGGAGGAAAGAAAGCTCAAGAGTAAAGTCAGGGTATTTACTTCCCTACTTTCCTCCCTGGGAGGTGGCTTCCAACTGGCTGTGCCCTACAACAGAATGTCACTGCCTTTTCAAAGTTCCTTCTGGGTTCCTTCCTCTCTGGGCCTTGGGGTAGTGGCAACTCCACTGCTGCTAGCCCTGTGATTCCTCTATTCCTTGTGGTTCCTCTATAGCCCTCCCACACTTCTGTAAATAAATCTTTCTCAAACTGTCTAATTTGATAGTGGCACCTGTTTCCTGTTGGGACCCTGACTGGTACAGGGAGCAGAGGTAGAAGTAAGATTTCTCTGTGTATACTTTCCTATAGTTTTGATCTTTAAATATGTATATGCATGACCAATTAAAAAAAACCTAAATGTTAAAAATCCCACAAATGAAAACAATCACAAACAAGTAAATTTAACTGAATATTAAATTAGTAACATAGGCATACTGAGAAATAATTCATTTCAAGGGACTTCAGATCACAAAATTCTGACTGTACATTCTTAGTGAGATCCATTCTAAGGACCAAACAGAAGTACAAAGGAATTTTATATTCCCTTTAAAAGCTTTATTGTCTATAATGTTATTGGTTCTGGTAGTTTAAGAGAGTTTTCTTTATGTTGTAACTTAAACAAATAAGTAATTATGTTAGTCATGTTAGGAAATAAGATTTTCAGAGTAATGAAAAACACTTTAATGACAAAAATCAAGGGAAGGTGAAAACACAGTTAAGTTAAAACCGAATGGAAAATACCAGCATGAACTCAATTTTTAAAAATTACTGTAACATGAAAAGATGCTCAAAATCAGTCATTAGGGAAATTCAAATCAAAACTACAATAAAATACCACTTTACAATCTATTAGGATGGCTAAAAGAAACAAGACAAACAATAACAATTATTGGTGAAGATGTGGATAAATGTGAATGCTTACTTATTGCCAGTAGGAATGTAAAATGATGAGTCACATTAGAAAAGAGTTTGATAGTTCCTCAAAATGTTAAACAGAGTTACCATAGGACCCAGAATCTCCCCTTCTAAACATATTCCCAAAAGAAATGAAAAAACATCTCCACACAAAAACTTGTACACAAATGTTCATGACAGCACTATTCAGAACAACCACAAAGTAGCAACAACTCAAATGTTCATCAACAGATGAATG